GGCAACCTTTCGATTGTTTTACTTTGTTTGTAAATCTGAAAGAAGTCCCAGTACAAGCAGTAATTTCCCTCAACTTCTTTTTCCAAACACAGTTGAGAAGTTGTTTCCTTTAGGAAGTCTTCCCTGGTTTACTCTTTTCACTTGATTGCCTCTTATCACTGTAGCCATCATTTAGAATGTTTGTTTGCACTGATTTGCACATCACTCTGTGTTTTTAAGGCAGTGTGTGGGTGCAGGTAAGTGTGGAATGTGCACTTTCTGGCTGCTTCCTAGTTCTCTGGGGCTGTCTTTGTGTATTTGTACATTGTGTCTGTATGTGGGCATATATGTACATATAGCTGTGTATTTACATGTTTTATATGTAATTTACCATGGAATTTACATGTAGTAATTTACTATGTGCCAGGCACTGGAGGAACTGCCTTATAACTTGATGAAGTAGCTTCTGTAATTATCATCCGCATTTTTCATATAAGAAAACTGAAGTACAGAGAGAGAAGGTGATTTGTCTGATATTACTCAGCCAAGCTAGTGGTAAGACCAGGATTTAACCCTGGAAGTCTGATTACGCTCTTCACCAGGACACCAGCCTCTGAAAGCTGCTCAAATGATTGCCATGTAGTGGCCTCAGGAATGTCCTTGCCTTGTCTTCAGCTCAGGCCATTAACCCATTTATCGCTGACAGGGTGGGCATGGTGGGGATGATGGTAGAGAAAAAGATGGGGGCTAAATTCTGTCCTACAACTGCCCTAAGACCCTATTTGGGTGCCTGCCATATGCAAGATTGGGCCAGGTGCTAAAGGAAACAGACAGAATACATCCTTGATTTTAAGGAGCAGCCCTGGATTGGAGCAATCCTCTTCAGGCTGCTGCTACAGGAGAGCCTACCCAACTTGATCTTGGTATTGGACCCCCTGAGCCATCTCCACAAACCAAGGTAAACTTAGAGAAAGTCGGAGCTTTTCAGTTGCAGACCCTAGTGAATTGGAACAAAACAGATTCCACGTGCTTGACACGTGGAAATTCTCAGAGCCATTGTTTATAAACTTGCCAAGGGTTAGGGGAACAAACACGTGCCAGAGAACCATGGAGTAGTTCTCTGGCAGTGATGCATGCAAACAGAAAGCACAGCCCAGAGGCTTGCTCAGAGCTAATCCACATAAATTACTTAGTACCATGCTGGCACAAAGCAAGTTATTCGTGAATGCTAATGGTCACTATTAGTATTGCTTGTCACAGAATGAACCAACAATACATCTATAAACTATGTGCTCACAAACCTCCTGGCCTTGTTGAAAGATGTTTCACCCATTCTAACATCCTTTTAGTGTTTTCAGTCAACTCAACTTCTCAAAACTAAATTTATTACATACTTCGTAAGTGCCAGGCACCTATGTATATTTATATATTTATCATCTCATTTGATTATCTCTCAGCCTTGTGAAAAAAGTGCTATTAGCCTCATTTCACAGATGAAGAAATTGAAGTTCAGAAAAGTAAAGCAACTTATCTAAAATCACACAGCCTAAGTAGAAGTACCTTGCTTGTCTGACTCAAAGCCCATGCTCTTAAATTAACCCTGCACTAAAACCTCTAGAATCTATGTGGCCTTCCTGAGCCTAGATTCAAACAGAATCTGAAGCTGAAGAGCTGCTGTTCTTGTTTTGTATTTCTGAGTCTGGCTATGCCACCCCCATATTCTGTGGTGTCCAAGGATCAGAGGGTTTCCCTAATCCAGTCTGTACATCTGCCAATAAACAAATGTTTAGTGAGTATCAGCATACTTGTTACTCTCCTGCAATCAATGCAGGAATTGTTAAGTTTAGAATAAATTACTCTGCTTTACGCTTGCATAGTATGTTACTGTTTACTTTCAAATATATGGTTTTGCTCCACACTAACAACCCTGGGATATAGGGCTGATTATTTTCATTTCACAGCTGCAGGATCTGAGGTCAAAGAGGAGCTGTGGCTTGCCAAGTCTTAACAGATAGGAATGGGGGGGCAGGGAGGTGTGGGCCTAGAACTTAGCTCTGCTGACCCCAAGCCCAGTGTTTGTACCAGCATGTCGGGCTGTCCTCAGCACTAGGGGCCTAGGGACTCTCACTGTTCCATTCAGGCCTGTGGTAGAACTATACTCAGTCCCGCTTCCCTACCTACCCCTTTTATCCAAGAGCAGAGAACCATGGCCCAGGTGGAGTGGACCCTGCTTCTCTGTCCTCTGGTCCTGACCTTCCTCCCGCAATGTAGATTATGCTGAGGAGAAAGTGGTGGGACTTTTAGGAGGATAGCCATTTGCTTGTTGCTGAAAATCTGTGTCCCCATAGGCTTTTCGTTAAGAGGGAAAGCAGATTTAGGGGAGAGTGGGCGCCTGGTTGGGGGAGCGGGGGCAGAGGGACAGACTTGGGATATGAACTTGTCAGGCACCATGCTGCCCTCATCTCCCAGAAGGTGGAGTTTTGCCTCAAGCCGAGCGAGACAGCGTGACTTTGCTAGGAGGGCTCAGCTGGGCTGGGCTGGGCTGGGCTGTGTCAGGCTGAAGATGAGCCTGGGTATGTACCAGTTTTCTCTGGGGTGCTGGCAGGATGCCTTCTGGTGAAGGAAGCTGCTGAGGGGAGAGGGATCTGCTCTGACCCTCTGGATTTTTAGGGATCCCAGGCAGCAAAACCTCAGTGAGGTAAGTGAAGAAGTTAGGGGGCCTTGCTGCTGGCAGTCCTCAGCAGACCATGATGGGGTGGCTTTGAGCTGCTTTTCAACATGACCAAGCTTCTGGGGTCCTGGTGACCCCAGGCAGCCTCTGGGGGGCAGCCTGGGTAGGTCTGCAAGCCAGAGCTCCTCACTGTGTGTGGGGATAGAGTCCATGCTGCAGACACCACCACCGGGCTCAGGGGTGTTTTTGGACTTCTCCACCTCTGTTCAGCCAAACTGATAGCCACTTGTGCTGTGTGAAAACACTGGCTCTAGTGCTGCGGCTCTGGAGTCTCAGCTGAGAGCAAATGTCTTTGGGGAAGAAGAGACGTCAGTGGCTGAGGAGGTCCTCTTCTTACCTGGCTCTCGGCCTCCATTCTTCCTCAGAGGTTTAGAGGCCACCTTCCCTCTGGGCAGGCTGGGGAGTCCAAGATAGGTTTCCGATGTCCCATGTCCTGCAGGGCTGGGAGTAGCTGTCCAGGCTTTCCACATTGGTGCAGCCACTCATGGACAAACCTTCACAGCTGTGAGCTTCCAGAATGCCTCCTTCATTACCTTCACTCACCACATCTAGGACCCTTCAGCCCTTCCAGCCCTAGGAGGAAGGGCTTCCAGGACTGTATGTAGGAGGGGCCAGGATGGCGGAGGCCACTGGCACTGGTGCCCAAGAAATAGCCACAGACACAGGTCAGTGGGAGGTTTCCTCCCTCAGCCTTTATCTGACTAAGTATCTCAGCACAGAATGTTCTGGTTGGTGTTTCTTCAACATAAATCTTTATTCCAACTGCAGTAGCTTTGATAGGAAAAACAGGGCCCATTTCAGCATGTGTTTACCCTAATCAAATGTCTCTCTTGCCAAAGCTCTCTGCACGTCTAATTTGCCCTATTTGGATTGGGTTGGGGGTGGGGTGGGACAGTGAGAAGAATATGACCATTTGCTTTTTTATCAGAGGGACAATTTGGGTCTGATTTCAGAAAAATTAGAGTAGGTACTTCACCCTGGGAGGAAAGGGACTGAGATTAAAGCAAATTTACCTTTTCAATGTAAATGCTCTGTCTGGGGGAAAAACTGTCTTCAGGGAAAAAAAAAATGCAAAGACATGGGCCTGGGAGGCAGCAACTTAAGGATGGGTGGAGCCCTGCTCCAGGCTGTGCCCTGGGGTCTCTGTCACTAGCATCTCTCTCTAAGACCTTTGCACGTAGCTGGTGTTGATAAACACGTCTCCCACCGCCAAAAAACAAATACAAAACAAACAGAAAGAGAAAGCTACCCAGGTTGGGTTTCTTGCAGGCTGGGGATACTGATGCCAGTAGAGAGACGAGACATGCCTTCCTCCTCGTTCTGCTCCCTGCTCCCCTTTCTCACACACCCTCTGCTCTCTGCTTTCTCCTGTTTGGTTTCCCCCTCCGGAAGGAGCAGAAAGTCATTCTCCCTTCCGGCCTGGCCCACCTCTCCTCCTTTCCTGGCCATCTGTGTGGGTTCTCACCGCTTGTCTCTCTCTTCTCCTCTCCCCATTTTCTCCACAGGTCCCTGTCCACCGTGGTCTCTTGTGGGAATCATCCAACTAGGAACACAGAACTCTTTCCGGGCAGGTCCTTGGCTCTCCCGACACAGGCTGACATTAGGGCCACTGGAAGGTGCTGTGGGGCTCTTAGTGGGTGGCAAGAGTGTTGTCGGCCCTGATGTTTTCTCAGCTAACAAAGTCTTTAGCAGGAAGCCCCAGGGGGGATCAACTGAGGATCAGCCATTAGAATGAAGGGGATCTCAACATGAAATCAGATCTACCCTGGCAGGCCTCATGAGATGATTCGGTTACAACTCTTCCAGACAGTTTTTCAGCAAAAACCAGATCTCCCCCTAAAAACGAGCCTGCCTTACAGGGCTTTCGTGCAAGTCTCCTCCTCCTCTGTGGGCAGAAAGTCTCTCCAGGACCCAGCCAGGGCCTCTCCTAGCACAGGGGCAGCCGTGCCCAGCCTGGATCTGCCTGCTGGTGAGGCTCCCCAGACTTTCCTGGGTAGAGCAATCAGGGCTCACGCGTCCAGGCTCCGGCACAGGTAACCCAAGGATGAGGTCGTTTTGGCTCTGGAATGCAGAACAAAGCTGCAATCCCGCTGACTTCCCTTCCTAATCATCAGGGCTCAGGCTAATACCTGAAACCAGCTAGCCTTCCCTGCAGGGCCAGCCGGGGTGGGCATGGGGTGCAGATGGGCCTGAGAGGGAGCCAGGGGTGCTGTGGATAATCCCCCTGCCATGTTCCAAGACGTGCAGATAGTCACACTGTGAAAAATGACTGGATTGCCAGTACACAGGATGCTTCCAAAAATTTAATAAATAATGACCTTTTAAAACTGTATAAACTATAAATTACCATGCAGTCCTTATAATTTAAAATAATTTACAGGCTGAGGTAGGGAGGGGCCAGGAGAGTGTGGGGGAGCTCTGGGAGGGCGGAGGCTGCCGGTCAGGCTCTTCTCCCAGCCTTCCTGCTGAGCACACACACACAGGCTGTGTCGATCCTGATAAAGCGCCAGGCGGCCTGCTTGCCGTCCATGGTCAGCGCCTTGACGAAGGTGTGCGTCGTGGTACAATAGGAGTTCCAGTGCTTGGAGTCAATGCCCCGGCACCCGCTGTCCACGGGATTGGGGTCCCGGCACTTGGTCTCAAAAAAGTACTGTTTGAATACGCTATTGTTGATGTTCACCTCTCCCAACACCATCACCTCCTTGCCCTTGATGTCCGTGGCGGTGGTCTTATCCCCCACCCACACGCTGACACTGTCGCACACCGAGAACTCCCCCCTGTGGAAGACGGGGTGTGACGATGACCGCTTGCTCCTGTGAGTCCTGTTGAAGGGGGCGGCACCGCCAGCCTCCAAGTCTAGCTCCTGAGTGTCTGCAGTGACAGGTGGCGGGTGGGTGCTGAATAGCACCCGCGGGGAGCGCAGCCGCCGCTTTCTGAACAGTTTGGGGTCCACAGTGATGTTGCGGGTCTGCCCGGCCACCCTGGCAGCTATCAGCGCTGCCGGGGCGCTGCGGGCTCTGCGGAGTGCTGTGTCAAGGGAATTCTGAAGTTTAGTCCAGCGGGCTTGGGGGACGCTGTGTCCTGCTGGGACATTGCTTTCTGTGTGTGGTTCTGCCTTAATGCCGATCAAAAGAGCTGTAATCAGAGTGTAGAACAACATGGACATTACGCTATGCACCTGGAAGGAAACAGAAATTAGGATTACTCCACAGAGTACTAAGTGCTGCAAAAGGGCAGTTTCTAGGTCCCTCAGAGTTGACCTCCCAGGAGCATCACAAGGAGGTTTCACCTTGGAGTCTACTAGCAAAGAGACCCTGGAAATTACATTCAAACCCAGACACTTCTGAGAGTGAAAGGAGTGCTAGCAATGATTACTCTGTGACAACAGCATAAACAGGGCTGGCTGGATGTATGGTCACCCTGTCCATCGGGGGGGCTTCTCCAGGAAGGGGCAGAGCCCTGAAAATTCTTCCCTGTGGTGTGGTGTGAAGTTGGCTGCATCACTTCCAGAGTCCCTTGAATTCTCTGGCTGCCAGCTAGAGGCAGCCGTGCACAGGCAGCATGTGTGTACCGCAATCAATGGCTGGCAGGGTGAGTGACACCTCTCCCCAGCACTGTGTCCTGCCCAGTGGCTTGACTCCCATGGGAAGGCATTGGGAAGGGTTGCTGGGGACTTGTCCTGACGGCTCAGCACTGAATATGCCCACTGCAGACAGCAGCTTTGGTCAACTCTGAGATCTGGTGATTGTGAGCCCTTGTCATGAACCCATTTAGTGTTGTGTTTGGCAAAGAAGTGTACGGCTCTGGGACCAGCTTAGCCAGTGCATTTATTCAGCCCCCAGCCCACACACGTAACCACAAACACTGATAGTGGTTCCTCTTTGTGTGATGTTTTTGAACTTTTCAAATGTACTCATTTATAATTTTTTATTAGTCTGTGAGTTAGGTTAGGATTTATCATCTTTCTTTCATACACAAAGAAAATGATCCACAGAAAACTGACTGGCCTAAAGTCACAAACAAAAACTGGACTAGCAATGGAATCCAAACCTGCCCCCTTACTAAGATAGGCTACCTTTCCATGCATCCTTCTTCCTCACTTGCTTTTTCATTCTTTAATGTCTTTTCTTTTCATTATTTGATCTTATGTGAGTACAGACCAAGTAGCATACACCCGCATGTCCCCAGGAGGCAGTTCACTCCCCCACTACACTCTAGTTGCCTACCAGTGACCACCCCCCAGGTCAACTAACTATGGGGTCAGCTCACTTCCCGAGAGCTCCTATTCACACCTGTTTATTAAATGTCACTTCCTCTGTATAACTTTCTCAGATCCTTATGGTAAGGGTTGGAGGCATCCCCTACCAAGAGTGTTCCAGTTCTGTCCTACCCCATCTCTCCTCCCCACTCCAACAGGTCATTCTGCTCTCTGCCTGTTTTCCAGCTTGGCTCAGATACCACCCTTCTCCTGGGGACCATCTAATTAAAAGTGATCTCTTTCCATTCTCAATTTGAGAAGCCTGTGTGTGTGGGTGCATACTCTCCTACTAATCTCCTGCTAATCAGTGCAATGAAAAGAATCTGGGGTTAGAAAACCTTGTTTGGATTCCTAGCTCAGCTACTTGTTAGCATAGAGAAATCACTTAATTCTTCTGAGCTTTACTTTCCTCATTGAGAAAAATCAGGAAATAGGTACCATTTCACAGGATTGTTGCTAAGATTAAGTAGGTGCTCACACACTTATTTGAGTCATTCCAATGTTCTTTGTGTTCTTTAGTTATATTGCTGCCTTTTCACTCCCTGATCACACTCCATCCACATCTTTTAATGGTGCATTGTTTTCCCTCTGTCAGGCTTCTTTTCAAGCCTAATGATTTGAGCCATCTCCCCACTGGCTGCAAGGTTCTGGAGGGCAGAGCAGTGTCTCATCCACTCTCACCATCAGTTGCTCCATCCCTCAGAGTGCATCTCCCTCGTCTTCCCTGGTGATTTGTGCGTGACCGTGTTACCTCCCCCAGGGTTATGTATAAATGCTTACCTATCTGTCACTCTGAGAACACTGGAGAAGCTGTGCCATTTGCATGTATATTTCTGAGGCTATGTGCAGTGCCTGGCATGTAGTAGGTCCTCAAAAAATTCAAGGAGAATGAATGAAAGAGTGAATGGGATGGATGGCTAGAGAAGTCCCCCATCTGCCTTCTTTCCACCATGGTGCACGGTTTCTTTTGGATTTTGTGGATATAGCTGCATGCTGCATTCCTCATCTGTTCTAAAGTGATGCATTCTTCTCTCAGTACTATGCTTTTCTTCAGCTAGAAATGGACAGTTCTTTGGTGAGCTACAAGAATAAAACCATCAAATTTTTCTCTTTGGTTACTTTGAAAAATGTCTGTGCTTGTTCCAGTTCTCTAGCTGGCCATACAGAGGAGGCAGTGGCACATACGGCTTTTGACCAGCACTGGTTCTGCTGGCTAATGGTCTTGCAGGTAAAGGTCCAGGTAACCATTACAGACTGATTATTCAGTTGGCAGCTGACTCAAGGCCCTTACTTTAGCTTCTTTTGTTGTTTCTTTTTTCTTCCCAGTTCATATCTCTCATGAGGTAGATGAAGGGAGAAGAAATGAAACTGAAAGTCATTATTAGTAACACTTAGAATTTGGATGGGGAAATGGAAAAAAAAAGACTAAAATTGAGGGTTTTGATGTTCCCTACTGTTCCCTACTTCCTGTTACCAGAGGTCCCCAGCTCCTTCTACAGTCTCTCCTTTGTTCAACTCTCCCTCTTCAAGGAGTCAACTGAAATTTCTGTGCAGTTGGTGCCCGTACCATTGAGCATTGTACCCCAAATGCTTCCCACTGGGCAACTCTGCGCAGATATTGACACTTTAAAGGCAACAAAGATCTTCATACTCATAACTCTCGTCAGGGTGATCACCCCCTACTTCCTCCTCTACTAACAGCAACATTTGGACCATTTGATGATGTATGAAGGAGTTCCACAGCTACTGTCTCTTGTGAACATCTGTCTCCATCCTCCTAAATGTGTTTCTCCACAGTTTCCTTTTCCTGTCGCTGGAAGCAGCATTCCTTCATTCTGCAGCCCTACACCTCAGCTCCTTGCTGAGCTCTGTGCTTTCCTCTGGGTTCCCCAGCCAGCCTGGCTTCAGTAGCATCTCCTGAGATTGTCCCTTCTATTCTCCCCTCTGTGTTCCCAGTTCAGGTCATGGAACAGTCTCCCAACCAATGTCCTGGACCCTCATCTCTCTTCTTCCAATGACTAAGCTAAATGGCTACCCCAGTTAACTTAATGAAACACTGCTCTTATCTTATCATCCTCCTCAAAGGATCCAGTGGTGAGTGGTTGTCTAGTGAACCAGTAACTGCTCAGCCTGACAGTCAGACTCTGCCCTCCTTCCACTCCCCTCACATATTTTGCATTCCAGGCAGCAGACCTCGTCACAGGCAGTGCCGGCTCTGTGCTTCACCACTGCCCTTGGTTCAGGCTCCCATGCCCAGCCATAACCCACACCCACCTCGGTCCCCCAGGCTGGAGTCCTTCCTGTTGGCTTTAAACACCCAACTGAAATGTTATCTCCACTGGGGAGCGTTTTCTAAAGAGACAAATTCTCTCCCTTCTACATCTCTATAGAAGTGATGCTCTCTTAAAGAAGGCAGCGGTGTCTCCTCTCACCCTCCTACCTAGAGGGCCAAGTCCTTGGAGGCAGAAAAGCATCCTGTTCACCTTCGTTGTGTCCAGGTGATGTCGCACTCACAGGTAGCTAGCTGCACCTCTGAGACTCCACCACTAGGAATCAGTGTTATAAGTCTCCTTCTCCCACACTCCTTAATTTCTCCATCTGAGTGGTGATGTTTAATGTATCTTCCAACTCTAACATTCTTTGTGTTCAAGCAATTATAAAGTTTTCTACTCTACCTAGCACTGCTGGTTCTACTGAATTGACTTCACAAAGTTCTTAAAGTCTAATGCTATATCTTAATTCACTGACACATGGTATCTGGGGGCATTCAATGACAGTGGAGGTTTGTATCATGGACAGTTTGTTTCAGTAAGATTTGAAAATATTGCAAATATGTCTCTCATTTGGGTTTTGAATTAAAATGTTTTTTTAATTGACTTACTCAATAATGTGTCCATATAATTTTTTTTTAATTAAAAAAGCTTTAAAAAGTTCATCAGTATATAACAAAAGAAAAAATGAGTGTGTTTTCTATTCTAGTGATATAATGCATAAGGCACAGTTTACCAGAGAACACTCTTTCGTTGGCAGAAGTGAACCAGGGAAGGCGTTTTTATTTATTTATTTTTAAAAAACTACCTTTGAAGTCTTTCTTCTGAAGAGATGACAGTCCTTGCTGGGGCACCATGAAGCAGAGCCCTGTGAGCTGAATGATTAGCTGGGAACATGCAGTTAGGGGCTCACCTGAAGGAGCACATTTTGTTCAATGTGTGAACGTTCTGAATTTGTCTCACTCCTTCTCAGAATGGAAGATAAATGATTAAGAGGGGAGGACCAGTTGGGTACCTTTTTCAAGCTACTGATGGAGTGCCCAAATCTTTTTCCCTTGCCGGGGTCAGTATACATTCTATGGATTCCCATGGTTCACACACTCCACTAAGAGAAGTTTCCCACACCAGATTCTGGCCACATCTGAACAGGTGATGAAGCTGTTGGACAGAGCTAAGTAACTGGCCCAAATCATCATGACTAGGAAGGCTGATGGCACTGGGGGGCTCGGGAACTATGCCTTTGCAGTTACACTGCAGGGGGAAGTAAGATAATTCCTAACTTAGAGGCAGTGGTATCAAGAACTCTTAGTGATTCTCGAACTGGAGACTGGGTCAGTGAACCAGGGCCACTAGTGTTAGCAAGAGAGAAAATTCTTGGAGCTGAGGAAATCCAGCCTCCTCCTCTTCTGTCTCACTTGCCATATTATGAGAGTGGTCAAGGGTCATTTCTTGGTTTATACTTAGACTTGTTCTGAATGTAAACTGGCTGCTGTCTTCAGTTGTAAAGACTTAGCCATTCTCAGCTATTGGGGCCTGTGTGGAGTATGTGAGGAGTTCTGTGGCTCCTTAGCTACTTGGGGAGGTATCCCCGAGGCTGCAACAGAGAACGGCATTGACAGAATAAAATCCATCGCCTCTGCGAGCATCTCCCAGGGGGAAGGAGCATGGATTGCGAGGGATATCAGAGGTTATCAGTCCAGAAGTTTCAATGCCTCAGAATCACCTGGAGAGTTCACTAAGCCACAGACTGCTGGGCCTCACTCCCAGAATTTCTGGTTCAGAAGGTCTGGATTGGGGTCCGAGAATTTAAATTTCTCACAAGTTCCCAGATGATACAGATGCTGCTGGTCTGGGGACCACATTTGAGAACCACTAATCTAGTCCAATTTTCGAGCTTTACAGAGGAGAGACATGGGCCTTGGAGGGACAAAGTGGCCTGGGTTCTGAAGCTAGCAAGTGGCAGGCTCTGCATGTTGGCACATGGTGTTGCTCAGCCCCAGCACCTTCTAGAGGAGAGGGTTGAGGCTGTGTACCCACAACACTCACTGTGATTGATTGGTCTGGGCTGCAGTTACTCAGCCACCAACATCAAAATGAAAATTCCATTCAATAGACTTTAAATTTTACCCTCCTTATGTCCCAAATCCAGATACCAGTGAACATTTAGATATTTAATTATTTTTAAATCTAGTTTATCAGGTTTTTGTAATCTTATAGACTTGATCCAAAGCACTTATGATGCCCATGATAGAAATATGCAGTGAGAAAGCACTAGCTGGCACGTGCACTTGTGGACTTTCTGGTCTACTCCAAAACAGAATGGGAATGGAATCTACTGGTTTGAATTCTTAGAGACACATCTAAAAATGAACGTGGTGAGATCATAATTATCATCATTACCATTTATTGGGTATAACTGTCTGATTAACCATCACAACAAACTTGGTAGGTTGGCCTTATTCCCATTTTACAAAGGAGAAAACAGAGACACAGTAAGAGTAAATAACTCAATCATGGGTATACACCTGGTGGAAGGAGAACCCAGAGCTGGGCCTGTCTTCAGATCTGGAGCTCTCCCCACCCTCCACTCTGTAAAGGGCATGAGAGTAATCAAGGACCTTTCATCTCACAACGTTAGGCTTACTCAGGCAGACCAGGAACTGTGTGGAGGGTCTTTGTGATGCTCTCTGTTTATTTGAGGCCCTGTGTTCTCTTACTTTAGAGGTGGACAGCTCAGACTCCTAACATGTCCCCAGAAGCCCTGGGGCCAGCCTGGGAGAAAGGGGCACTTTCTCTCCCAGTGGAGCTAGGAAGGCCACATGCACCGTGTCACTAGAAGCCAGCCTAGCTCATGCCGATCAGCACTGAATCTGACTCCCCTTCCTTGGCCTGGGTCTCCTGTCCAGCTGTCCTGGTAGCTCTACAGCCAGGAACCTTGCTTGGTGGGCAGATACCCGTCGGGTGCTTACCTCAGTGTGGCCAGGACAGAAAGCTGCTCCCTTGGAAAAGCCCTTATTGGGCCCGGACGCTGAGCTGAGCTTGGGTCCAGCATGCCATCCAGCCCCCTGGACTGCAAGACCACGGGCCAGGACTCTGTGGGAGGAGAGAGCTGGCATTGGATGGGCACTTCACCACATTCCATAGTAGATGGACAGCTGCAGACAGGAGGGGAGGGATGTGCCAATGGGGAAAACCTCATCCCCTGAGTCCTGGGACTCTCAGTATCAGGGCCCTGGAAGGAGCCTGGTCCAGCTTCCAGAATCACCAGGGACTGACCTTGCATACAACTTCGGGGGCACCCACAACTTTGTTGCGCCGAAGTTCTTGGTTTCTGCCTGGACAGTCTATGACTGATCTTACACTCAGTGCAGGTGCCTCCAGCCCCACACCAGAGTCCTGCTCCAGCAGACCCCTAATCTGGCATCAAAATGGAAATTATTTTGTACATTACACACATGCAGATGTAGAAGACCCAATTGTGTATTGTGGTCCACCTAACAGGTAAATTATACAGAAGAAAAAGTTCTGACAACCGAGAACAGTTGGTATTTAATAAAAATGGGAAGCGGTGGCAAATAAGACAACATGATCACTTGATAGATAACAGAGAGTTCTTACAGAACTGGGACATGAATCTCAGAGAACCATGCCAAATGCCAAACTATGAATCAGAAGGTAGGAGATGACACAATGAGAAACAAATTCTATTCAATTTTAGGGTGGAATTTCTAGAAGCAATGGAAAGTTTCTATTCTCTTCTCATTTCTACAAACCTCACATATATAGGTGCTTCATTAATTCATTCAACAATATTTCCTGAGAACCTACTATGTGCCCAGCACTGTTCTAGGTGTTGGACACCCATTGGTAAATAAGACAGACAAGGTCTTTATTCTCATGGAGCTTATAATCTTGCATAAATAAACAAGATATCTTCAGATCCTTTGTATACCATGAAGGAAATGAATAGAGTATGAAGATGACGGTTGACTGCAGGGTGTAGCAAGAGGCTGCGATAGGCAGGGTGCTCGGTGGAGTGTTCTCTGAGGAAGGGGCCTTCAGGTTGATATCTGAAGGATGGGAAGGAATGAGGGAGAGAGGATTTTGGGCAGAAGGGACAATAAATCAAAGGCTCTAAGGTAGAAAGAAGTAAAAGTTGCTGAACATGCAGAAAAGAGACCTAGAAATTGCACTGGAGAGGTAGGAGGAGCCAGGTCACAGGCACACAGGTGGGAGCGATGGTTTTATCCTAAGGCCAGTGGGAAGGGAGTAGAGGGTTTTAAGCAGGTAAGTGACATGACCTTTTTTATGACTGAATGAATGAACTCTTATGTCTATTGTAGAACTTGTTATAGGGTACCAGAAAGTTCTAGACTGGCATCTTTATCCTTCTTGTCTATATTCTCTTTCCAATTTCCCAAAACCCTATCTCCATCATGTCATTTTCCAGTGTGGACCCCACCACTTAGCATAGAAGCAAATATCAGTGATGCCACCACGGCCTTCAAGTTCCTAATTGCACAGAGAAGTCTGAGGATGGAGAGGTAGAAAAGGCCCAGGGAGCAATTCTCCTGCTTCTGGAAATCATGAAATTAAGGACTGGGATGTTTCTCTTCTTCTTCCTTATCCACTCTGCTCAAAATATCCTTTTTGCCTTAGACCGACCAGAAAAACTTACCAATACTCAATTGGGGTCAGGTCTAGAGATGAAAACTTACTCTTACACCCTAATAAAAGGTTAGATTCTATGGCAAAGAACACTTTCATGCTCTCTCAGGGTTGGATTTAGGTCAGGAGGGATGGTGTGGCTTCCCAGGTTAAGAGGTGGGCATTATGAGGCCCAGGTCCACCACTCATGAGAAAGATGATCTGATACAGTCCACAAACCCTTCAATTAGGTGTTTGGCTGAGCCTGACTGACTGCTAGGCTGGAACCCACAGAGCTGTATCCTGGTCCAATGTGCTCTGATTCTTGGGTAAATCGCTCAGTAGCTTTAAGCATTTCTGAACTTCCTTCTCCATAGGAAGAGGAGCTGGTATGATCATAGCTGAGGTCTCCTCCAGCTCTGAACATCTGTGATTCTGTAAGTGTTAATGTTTTCCAGCCTGCATCCCTGCTGGGTGCTTAAGGAATGCTTTCCCCACCCAAGCACTGGAATTTATTTTTTCATTAATTAAACACTAAAACTCACAGGCCTGTGCCAGCCACTGTGTTAGGTGCTAGGGACTCAAAGAAAAATATGACATAATACTTAACTTCCAAGAGAAGATAATCTAGAGGTAAGGAAAGACAAGCACTTGAACAAACATTTAAAGCACAATGTGATAAGAGACATGATAAGGAAACTTTGTGGAAGGAGGAATTAGTTTTATCTGGCCAGATTAACCAGAGACATATGTTCACAGAGGAAGTAACATCTGAGCAGCTTCCTTAAGGATGAAGAACAGCTCATTGGGAAGGAAAGAGAGGTGTCACAGAGCCCCAGAATTCAAGACCTGGCTAGAAGCTCAACATGGCTTATCAGGGGGCTTGGGGGAAGGTAAGAGGAGAATGTGATGGGCCTTATAGAGCAGTGGGTACTTACGAGCTTGCAGAGCTCAGGGCGGTGGTCTGCTCACTGGCTGTAACTTCCTATGTGACACTAGAAGCCTCCACTTTTAATCTATGCAAAAATTAAGCAAGTAGAAGTGGCTTTTCCCACAATGTTCTGGATATTCCACTACAAGCCAGGATGGCTTCCAATTAGAGAGAAGGTCAGTCTAAATAAAACATTCCACAACTTCTGGGAAGACCTGCCTTTTGGGGAGCAGCTCTGGACCAGCCACAAAAAGTTCCCTGGCCCTATGCAGGTAACCCTGGCCAAGCCACCTTGGTGTATGCCAGGGTCCCCTGCCAATCACACCTAGATACTTGATTGCTGTATTTGGGACTCTGTCTAGCATCTCCCATGTTTTGGGCCTTTTCTTGTTCAGTAGAGGTATAGGTCATTTGTTACTGGAGAGAGCAAATCTCTGTCCAGAATACTGAAACACTAGATATTGTTGTCTTTATTTTTAGTCTCATGCTAGTGAAAGTTGCTCTAAAATTAAATGTGATTTAAATATTACCAATTTTTAATGCAAAGATTTTAGGGCCAAACAACTCAGATGCATATCTATTTTAAAACCCTATCTGTTCTCATGGGGTAATCACTTAATCAGACAACTCTTGCTCTTTTACAAATGCATGGACATAAATCCCTGCTCACCTCAGGGCCATGTTCTATTCCTTCTTATACAGCATGTAGGGAAAAAGAAAAATCCTATGGCCAAGATCCTCACCTGACTCTAAACTACTTGATGATGTAATTGGCCTACTGCTAGGCTACTGTGTCCACACCCATTGGCAATGAGCCATTATTGTTGGTGTTACTATATAAAGAGCTCCACTCAGGGCTCTGCTGGGAGATGGAATGGGTTTTTTGCTTGCAGACTGCCCCAGAGGCAGATGTGATTCTGCACTCTACCTGCCACAGTGAGAATAAATCTTGGTATAAATCCTTTTACTCCTAACTTTCTGTTGTTAGAATCCAGAGTGAAGTTGTCCGGGAGCAATCCCCCTTAGGAGAGACAAGCACAAAGGAGTACTACTGAAGTCTGGTGTACCTCTTCAAGACCTGGCCAACACTGGCCTGTTTAGGGTTTCCTACTTTAAAGCTGTGATTCTCAAAGCATGGTCCACGGTATCAGCAATATCTTGAAACTTGTTGGAAATGCAAATTCTTAGGCTCCACCATAGACCTAGCAATGCTGAGTGAGACCCGGTAATCTCTGTTTTAACAATCCCTGCAGGTGATTCTGAGGCACACCTCAGTTTGACAATTACTGCCTTAGAGGGTCCCACTCTGGCTCCCCTCCATCTCCTTGTGGGGTGAGGGACGCAGGGCAGAGAGAACGTGCCAACCCAGAGTCATTCAGCTGCCAGATGGTAACTTTCTGCTTTACAGTCAATATTCTGTCTAGACCACACCTCAGAAACCATGGCCCCAGAACACCAGACCAACCAGCCTGGGGTCAGCTGGAGTTAGGGGTTCTTCAAAGACTCGCTGAGGTTAAGTCTACTTGCATGGTTCTCTTTGTTTCTTGCCTCAGCATCCCCTTCATTTTCTTAAAGTCTCAATGGTAGTTGGTCGATGTCAGCCAAGGAACTCAGATATGTCACATATTGTTCAAAATCCAATCAACATACAGTTGAAGGAAATAGAACCTCTGTTGGTGGTTTATCAGAGAGTGACAGGCATCAACCACAGCTGCTGCAACCTGCTGTCAATCACCGTCCAAAGTCCTCCACATGTGAACTTTGTGGAAGATTCTCTCTACCTCCTAGCTGCTACTTTCTGCTGCCTTCCCCCACCCTGAGTCCTCTACAGCAGAGGCTCTCACGGAGTGTCACCTGAGTACCAGTGTTTTGCAAAGCTCTAACGGAAACCCAAAGGAAAAGCCAAGTCTGAGAACCACTGCTACACAGGGTAAGTGGGAAGCTTGACATTGGCTGTGATAAGCTAGCAATTAAGAGAAGTTATCAATAAATTAATATGTCTCAGAAAATGTACAGTGCAGGGGTGGTCACATTTAGGCAACAAGAACACAGCCTGCAGACTCTCTGGGGAATGTCGTCCTTGTCTTGCTGGCTTGTTCCACCCCCCAGTTGTCTACATATAATTGACATTTAGTCCTTGTGTTCCACTTGAAATGTTCTTTGCTGTTGAAGGTATTGCTAGCTTATTGTTAAGCCCAAGGATTATTTGCTGACATTTTTAATACCAAAGATTTGGGGATGCTTCACCAAAAAGACCTCTTGGACCACCCCTCACATGTGCTTGGAAGCAATGGCTAGTCCCAAGAGAAGCTTATACCACAACAAAGATCTACAGCAGCTGGTGTGAACTGCGGCCTCCTTTCTCCTAGCTTCCACCTGCTAGAGTTCTGTGAGCTGGGAAAACTCACAAGGAAAATTGGGTATGAAGAACATGTTGTTGAGGCCATCATAATAATTGTTGGTGTTGTCACTGTGATTTGCATTGCTGTAACCGTTCCCCTTAATTCTCTCCTCT